AAGGAAGGAAGGAAGGAAGGAAGGAAGGAAGGAAGGAAGGAAGGAAGGAAGGACATAAGTTATTCAGTCCCTTACTGCAAAGCAGGATTTTTTTTTTTTTTTTGCGAGGGGGGCGGGGGTGGTTAAAAACGTTCTGGAAATATAGAGTGGTAGTGGTTGCACAATATTATGAATGCACTGAATTCCAATGAATTGTATACTTTATAATGATGTATTTTACATTAAGTTGTATTTTCTGACACATACATATAAATGTACCCATACAATTTAGCTATTATCGTCCTATCACTCCATCCCTCCTCACCAGCCCTAAATAACCAGTGATCTACTTTCTGTCATGGATTTGCCTATTCTGAACATTTTACATGAATCATGTTAATATGTTTATTTTTCACTGGCTTATTTTACTGAGAAAAATATTTTCAATGTTATCCATATTCTAGTGAATATTAGTACCTCAATTTTTTTCATGGCAAACAATAATTCTTTGTATGAATACACTACATTTTATTTATCCATTCATTAGGTGATAGACATTTACATTGTTTCCACCTGTTGTGTATTATGAATCAAGCAACTATTAACATTCATGGATACCTTTTTGTGAGGTTGTATGTTTTGATTACTCTTGGTTACATATCTAGGAGATGCATTGTTGCATCAAATGGCAATTATATGCTTATCTATTTGAGGACTTATGAGACTGTTTTCCAAATTGGTTGCACTGTTGTGCATTTTAACTGATTTCCAATTTCTTTGCATCCTCACCAATGTTTGCTATAAAGTGATTTTTTAAAAATTAAAGCCATACTAGTAAATATGAAGCGATACCATAAGGTATTGATTTGAATTTCCATGTTGACTAATAACATTGAACATTTTTTCATGTATATTTTTTTTCTAGAAATATCTCCTATAGTCAATATTTGGTATAGGCTCTTGGAATTCATGTACCATCAAATTGCATGGTAAATGATTATCATGGGAGTAATTATAAATTATATTTAATTATAGTAAATATTATAAAGTATACTTGTTTCATTTACACTGCTATATATTCAGTAAGAAATCTGAAGGAGTCCTTATTAACATGTACTGAAATACTAGATTAATTTCCAGCACATGATTATTGATAGGGGTTGAGAGGAGGTAGCCCAATCCCTATCAGAAAGGGGATCCTACTCTACAAATCGTTATTAGTGAAATCAATAGGAAACATCACAGATTGAATGAGTTAAGAAAAGTGTCCTATCTCTGTTTTGAAAAAAATAAGAAGGTACTAATTAGAATGAAAAAAAAAAAAACCAATTGCATTGAATCCATACCTATACACAAGGAAGGTAACTGGGTAACAGGAGAGTGAGCAAGGTCTAGAGAGGTGCTAACCTGAAGGATCAGTAACTTTCAGGATGAGCAGTGGATGCTGGGAAAAATAAACTCTATTCAAAAAGAGTCAACACCGATTTTGGCAGATTATCAGTGTGCTACTGCCATCACAGCTTTACACTTGTGACATATGAAGATTGTCTGTTCCCAAGGGAGTAAATGAACATTTGCCCAGTAGACTGAGAAGTCACCTGCACAGTTTGGACCTTTGCTATGACTGGATGGAGTAACAGTAGCCTTAGCTTCGGAAACTCAAAGGAATTTGCTTAGGTACTTTGAGAGGGTCATTATATTCTGATGACATATTCTTAGAACCTGAAAAAAAAACATGTTTATCAGCAGCTTACAAATTTTCATTTCTTTAGGTAGTTACCCTTGGTTTGTCTACCAGATCCACTTTAGAGAATGGAGTGATTTGAAGTTGCAACTAAAATCCTAGGCAGAATCCTTTTTAGGATATTTTATTTTTTAACTGCAAAGACAGCAAAGAAAAACAAACAATTAAGGTTCTGTACCTTATTTCTCCTTCTCTAATGTGGCCTGCCAGTTCTTCAATAAACTTCTCCCCTTTCATCCAGTAGATCATTGGCCCAGATTCTCCACTGAATCCAAAGAATGCTTTGCAAGGGATATTCAGAGGCTTACCTGAGAATGAGGAAAAAAATGAGAAAATTGACTACTTGTTATCATTAGAGGCCAAGGATGAGCCCTTTAATATCTGAAGGAAAACTCAGAGATGACATATTTTTCAACTGTTCTTCTAATCATCTTACCATTGTACAGGCAAAAATATTAAAATATTATGAGGACTTCTGGGAAATTTAAATGTTCAAGATATTATATAAACAAAAATAAAGAATAGTACTCATTTTTAACTTTATTTTTATGATTTCCTTCCCAGGAACTAACATGAAAGAATCAAATGGAAATAATCCCTTATTTTTTTGAGAGAGAATTAAGTTCTGCTTAGTTGGACTTGCCTTTGAAGGTAACATTAATCAAAAGTATGAGTTAATCCTTTACTAATAAGAAGACATATCAGAAGAGACTATCCCCATTATTATTAAGATTGCACTGAGAAAATTTTTTGCTCTGATCATTATCTTTTTTAAAAAAACAACAATATAAAAAACAGTGATTGTTAAGTTTTGATGTCAACTTGAATGGACTAAGGAATACATAGATTGCTGGTAAAACATCATTTCTGGATATGTCTGTGAGACATATCCAGAAAAGATTAGCATTGGAGGTGGTGAACTGCGTGGGCACCATCTACTCTGTTGGGGTCCTGGATAGAATTAAAAGTCAGAGGAAAGGAAAATTCCTCTCTCTCTCTCTCTCTCTCTCTCTCTATTGGAATTGGAACAACTGTCTTGTCCTGTCTTTCAGCTTCAGAAGTCCAAGTTCTCTGGATTTGTACTTAAGTACTAGCACCATCAGCTTCCTATAGTTCCTGGGCCTTCAGCTTTGGAAACTGAAGTTGTATCCTACTCTTATTATGAGGCTGAAGCGTTGTACTTCCTGGCTCTCCAGCCTGCAATAGCCTATTATAGGACTCTTTAGCTTCCATAGTCACATGATGTAATTTATCTAATAAATCCTCTATCATTTATCTATCTATTCTATCTACTTATCTATCTCTCTAATGATGATCTTATAATTTCTTCCTCTCTGGAGAACCCCGAGTAATACATGAACCAAAGGAAATTTTTGGAATTACAAATGTATCTATAAAAGTACATATGCATATACCTTATCATAATTATCATAATTATCACCCACTTTTCATCACCCACTTTGTTGAAATAATTACAGGCAGTATTTCAGTACTTTTTATTGTGAATCATGATTGTAGAAAAATACTTCATTTTAACTTTAAGTTTCTCATCAAATAAGCAATTGTAATACAATATTAAGACAGTATGGGAAAAGTAGTAGAAGAGCACAATCTTGATATTTTTGACTAAGGAATTCCCAGATCCATAAATCATATTACAGTATATCACTCCATAAAATGTACTCTTTTTCCTTAGTTAAAATACTAGATGAAGCAATGTAAAATATTTTTCCTCATGGAGCTAATAGTAATTTGTTAGCACCATTATTCTAAACTATGGACAAATTCTCCGTTGTACATTTAAATAAATTCAAAGCTTCCATGTTCTAAAAATAAGTGCTTTCTGAAACCAAATCTCTTTAATCATCAAACTAGCAGATGACTTTTTAGAGAACCATTTTCACAACGAAATAGTTTAATTCGAGTTAAGGTCTACATTAAGATAAATTGGAAATTAACAAAACTTCATAGTCACATGGTTACTGTGTGATAGACTGAGCTTACTCATAATAAGGGATTTGTTGCCAAATGATAGTTTTATTATACTTAAAATTTTTCACTCAGCAAAATGATGTGTCCTGGACCTTTTGATCTTATCATAGTTGTCAGATCTTTCCCTGTCAGGAGTCTGTCCTATATGTTTGACACAAATTTGAAATAAGGTTATGTGAAATATGCTTTCATATAAGGTTGTGTAAAAACTAGATTATCTTATATACTGGAAAGTGCACTGGACTAAGAGTCAGGAAACTTAAATCTTAGTTTTTGATCTAATGTGAACAAACAAACTGGCTCTAGGCAGATTACCTAACTTTATGTAAACTGATTTCTCATATATGTAATGGGGATGGTAATAAAACTTGAGAGGTTCAAACAGGACAATGTATGCAAAAGTGCTTGCTGAACTCAAAAGTCTCAGTGAAACGTTGCATAGGTTGTTTTTCTTCTGAGGCTTAGTTATTTAAGTAGAAGTCAAATATGAATCATAATCCAATGTGGATACTGAGATAAATACACATTAATTTTACCCTGTCAATCTTATGTGCTTCTTTCACGGATGTCTATGGAGCAATATCCTTCTCTTAACAACATTCTGTAAAGTTTCCTTGGATTCTAGAGTATGTATGATTCACCCTATCAGGCACCTAGTTCTCTAAATCTGAAGACAGGATTTTTCCCCTATGCCTTGCTACCTTTTATTCTTTTGAAATTGAAGGCATTAAGAAATATCAAACCAGATGGCAGACAATCCATAGATATTTTTGGTACCACAGATTGAATCCAGGGTCACTCAACCAATGAGTCACATCCCCAGCCATTTTTACGTTTTATTTTGAGACAGGGTCTCATTAAGTTGCTGAGGTTTTTGCTAAATTGCTGAAGCTGGCTTTGCACTTGTGATATCTATATATATATATATATATATATATATATATATATATATATATATACATACACATACATACATGCATTTTGGTTGTCATTCCTCTGGGCTATGTTGAAAGTAAATATCAAATAAAATCTTTTAGTGATTCTTAATGTGTCAGTGGGGTTGGGTCTGGTTTAATTTTAATGTAGAAAGACAATTATAAAGCAATGTGCAAAAAGGGTTCTCCTTGAGGTGGTCCATCAATAATGACAGTGTTTCTTCTTTCTTTGGCACTACACACAAGATACTGACTATTGTAGAAATTTCTCCTGAGAGGAATGTTTTTACTCTCCCATCATCTGTGTTCTTCTTAAATAAACACAATAGACAGATATTTCAGCAGTCTAGTTTCTACAAATGCTGAATAAATATCCTGAAGCCTTTTGTTAATGGCCAAAACCAGGAAAACCATCCAACCATCATATGCAACACTCTGAGAAGAATACCAAACTAATAAGCTCTTGTGTCAGGTAGTGATATTCAATGTTTGCCAAAGGGTGGGCATTTCCTCTTCCAAAAGGTATGAGAAGGATCTCTGTATTGATTGGGCAAATAACCTGAAACAGAATCTCTCCAAGCATTTTAAAATCTGGCCTATGTGCCAACTCCTATCAACCATTGGCATCTGTAAGCTACTGTATTGTTTTGCCTGAAGAGATTTTCAAATTCATTCTGTTACTGTATGCCCTATTATTAGAGAAGGGCAACTTACATTTGTATATAAGTAGTTTGAAGATTATCACAGTAAAAGAATTTTGTGAGTTGTTACCTCAGTAATGAGGAAAGTTAGATGTGATAGAAAGTGGCCTACATGGAGTGAATTGGCTCTCCACTGCCTCAACATTTCCCCAATTTCATTTCTCAGAGAGCTCTCTGAGTATCTATATCATGAGAAATTTGCCTAGAATATCCATAATTTCAAGCAGGCTTAAGTTTTTTAGCTGCCATGACTTTGCTGTTCATTTATCTTATAAACAGATAAACTCTAGTATTGATGCGTTCAAGAGGAGAGATTCTGGAGAGAATTTAAGCATTAAAGTCTTATTAAATTTTTCTTGGTGTTATTAGTCTATACATTTACAAAACAGATCATAAGGTAAGAAAATAGTGTTGTGAATGTTCTGATAGTGGATAGTAGCGGAGTTTGTATGCTTCTTCGTGTGGATATAAGTGTAAATGTAGGTGGGGTTAAAAAGGGAGTAGGAGTTGGAGAGGAACAAGATCTACATCATATAATTTCTGCCATTTCTAAATAATGAACATATATATAGTATGCTGGCAAATGTTTAATGGGTGGTTTTCTGGAAATAAATATACACATAACATATATAAGTTAATTATAAATTATATTGATATACAGGATACACATAATACAGTTTATTTTTTAAAGAGAGAGAGAGAGCGAGAGAGAGAGAGAGAAAGAGAGAATTTTTTTAATATTTATTTTTTAGTTTGTTTTCGGCGGACACAACATCTTTGTCTGCATGTGGTGCTGAGGATCGAACTCGGGCCGCACGCATGCCAGGCGAACGCGCCACCACTTGAGCCACATCCCCAGCCCCTACAGTTTATAAATAACAATAAAACTATAATATTTTTCGTGTAACTTGATTCTTTCAGAATGCTTTCATTTATTTTTATAGAACCTGTGTTTGCAGATGAAAAAGCAGTGTAGTTCCAATATGAGTATTTGTCAATATTAGCATTGACATTAATGAGAAAGGTCAAAGTACAATAGATGCCTTTCACGACTTCACTCATTCTTCAGTTATATGAATGATTTATTTTGATGGATTGGGCAACAGATTTTAATTTGCTTTTCAAATCTACAGATTTGCTCTTCATATATTTTTTTAAAAGCTGAGACTGAATTATCTGAGAGAATTGCAGGTAAGTGTGAAAAGATAAAAATCTATTTTATTTTGAACACATCTTAATCTTTCCCTCTGCTATGACTTCCTAAAAAATTTCTGAAGGGCAACAATTTTGTTTTCAATTTATCTCTGCCCCTCATGGACTACACATTTTGTAAAGGCCACAGATAACCACCAATACACTTTTCTTGCCACAGTTTTTATCCCTTCTTGTTTTTTCTCTTAAACAATTTTCCATCTCTTTTAACATCTCTTTAAAATTGTCCTATTATCTCTACTTCTCAGGATGCACTTTTCTCCCATTGTGTCAGGCAAGCACTCCCATGATGGTTAACGTTTTTGTGAGTTATATAATTTCATTACTATTTTTTCACATATACTTGGGATAGTCATCTGTTGGAGTTCTGGGTGCTGAGGAGAGTAAGGAATTCCCTCAAGAATAGTTCCAAGTTTGCCTCTGCCAAGGGCCCCACAAGTTTCACTGGTTTCTAACTAGTTTTTTCTG